CGTTGCCTCCAGCTGTTGATGTGCTATACTTGCTGAGCTGCTCTGCCACCAGAAACTACTTCAACCTATGGTTTCCGCTGTTGATTTTGCACTCTGCTGCTGACCTGCACAGATCTCACCTTCGGGAGACAAGTCTTTGTCAGGAATCGAAGCACTGCATCATGAGTGTTAAATTACTTTTCCCATCATGGTTTAGACTAGTATACATAGCTAGAACTGCTATACTGGCTGAGACTTTGTCTTGTTATGGAGAAAGAAGAACTGTCAAGCAGCCAGTATAGGTACAAAGTTTTCTATTCAAAAAAAATACTTTCAACACAATACAAGCATCTTGTAGACAACCAGTGCTTACCATTCACTGAAAGCAAACTAACAAATGTATTATCATCCTATTTAGAACAAATTGAAAAGCAAATTGAGTCTTCGAACTGTGTCAGAAAATGGATTTCTGTGTCAGTTTCTTTTTTTTTGGTAAATCATTTTACTAGGACGACTATATTAATGGCCCTTTTATAAATCGACAGGTCCTAAAAGTTGTGAAATGAACTAAAAGCCGAATCCAGTTATTTTCCTGAGAAGCAGGCTGGACCAAAGGCTGAGAAACGGGGTGAAAGGAAACGCTACAGAGCTTGCTCTACTGGCCAATGGTGCGGAGAACAGTCGTAAAATCCAGGTGATTTAATCTGAATTTTATACTTGAATGTCAAACTCGTCTTGCTTCCAAAGAGCAACTTTCATCAGAATGAATGGTGTGCCACATCTGATGCTGTATCCAGTTCTCTTTATACATCCATGCATGAAGGGGCTGATGCATTTTAGAAGAACAAGAAGAAGAAGAATCATGGGATTTGGATCAAAAAGAAGCAGCATTTAGCTAAATATGTCTACAGCTGGAATAGACGTATCAATGGGGGGCAAAAGAAGGTTGTGATGATGCTCCTTCTGATAAATATCCTGCTGCCCACACCTCCTTCTCCAACAGTCTTCTTCTAAACAACATCAAATCACAGCATGGAAGTCAAATCAAGGGAAATTTAATCGTAGCCTTTGATCCCTGGCATGTCTAACATCTCATGCAACTCATTGCATGAGATGTATTATTGCCGTAAGGGCAATAATACATTCTGAACTGTCTTGATGTACAGTCGAATGATCGTCGAATCTTGGCCAAACATCTGTTATATTTAATGGAGGAAAACACCTCTCAGGTTGACGTCGGATTACTGCATAATGTATTATTTCAAAATTCCAATAGCTGCTTTGAAATAATTAGCTATTGTAAGAACACAGTCAAAAACTCCGTACATGTGTCGTGCTGATTAATGTTGACTCCTGCTGTTTTTTTTACAGAAGACATGTCGTGTTCGTCACAGCAGAAATGAGTCAAACTAAAAGTCTGCAGTTTGTTGTAAGTAAAAATAATCCAGCATTAATCATTTTTCCTAGTTCTGGTTTCATGTAAATACTACAGAGAAAGCACTTCAGAGTGTCTCTGTATTGTATGAAATCCAATATCATAAGCATGTGGGAGTGTGACGATGAGAAAGAGAGAATTAATGAAAGATAATGTTATAGATGTTTTCTTTTATTCATCCTCATGTTATATCATTTCTACATTCTTGACGTCTTGTCAGGGTCTCGGGCTCCTTGATAACTGTGTCCACTTTTCCCACAGGGCCAATTCTAAAGGGCTTTTATTCAGCAATAACAGCATATTCTTATCTAGGGAGTACAGACTCTCTCTCACACACACACACACACACATACACACACACACACAATTTGCTCGTATTGCATTATCCATGGCTTCCACACTGCTCACATTCATTAAACAGCTTATTTGCTATCATACCAAGAGCTTGATGAGAAGATTGATGCCACCCTCATGTTTGTAAAGTAAATATGAAGCTTGAGCCATGCGACAACCATTTAGCTTAGCTAACAGTAGCTTAGCATGAAGACCGACAACAGAGCCCCTGCCTCTGTCAAAAGTATGGCTCTCACAGCATCCCTGCACAATTATCACGGCAAAAATAATTCACATTAACAATATAATCACTATATCTGGATGAAACAAAAGTTTGTTTATTGTGCGTTTTTGTGTGTCTTTGTTGACGAATTAATTACACTCAAAATATGAGCGTAGGGAGGTGGAGAGAGAGTCTGCAACCATAAATATACAGTATATACAATGATTTCAGATTCATTTTTACACATCAATGTTTGTAAGGGTTAAATAAACACGATATGGTAGCTTCAGCATCAGTTGAATATACATCATCCTCTATCATTAAAGAATACAAGGGTCACGTAAAGCGCATGCATTCAGCTTGTGATGAGTTTAAATGCATGTATTTGTCAGTGCCTGATGAGCGCTTTCACCTGATGAGTGTGTATGTCGGCTAATTAAAATGTGCTGGTCGAGTGCCTCTAAATGTTGAATAGAAGCTAGTTTAATGTGAGTTATTCATACATCACTATTGCACACTTGACCTCTGACTGAGTATGGGACAGCATGTGTTTGTAAAATGAACAATAAGACGATGAGTCTTGAGTTATTGCATCATCAGAGATACCTCAGACTTTTAGTGGTGACTTTAATGAGCTTTATTTGAGTATGTTTCAAATGTGCACGTGTGTGTGTAGACTCTCTTGCTTTCATGCTGATTCCTGGTCCTCTCCAGTGGTCTACCCTCAGCAGTGGACTAACCCCACTGGCGCAGAGCTGTCAATCAAAAACATTTACTCTCTCTCACACACACACGCATATAAAAAATAAAAACCCTTTTAGCAACACCAAAGCTCACACACGTGCACACACCGATTTGGATTTTTGATGGAGTATTCAGGTTCATTAAATTCTTGTCTACATGGTCATGTAACGGGAATCAAAAGGAAGTTCAAAGCCGATCAGGTGGAGGTTGAGATGGTGTTGATATGAATAATAATAATGCATTTTCTTCCACTTTATTTCTCTATTGATTCAAAAAGACAAACCACTACAGAAGCTCACTATGGGGCACAGAGGCTTTCTTTCCTTTCTACATATTCTAAAAAAAAGGTTCCTTCTCCCTCTCTGCTGAAGCACACCCACAGCATCTGCTTTAACACATTATCCGTCATCTGCATATGTCGATTTCAAAATGTCATCGGGGAAAACATAACATGAAATGTAAAGATGTGTCTAGCTTCCGCAGTTTCTCTCTATTTTATCTCTATTGTTCCGTTTACTTCCACCTTTTCCTTCAATAAAAGTTATTGAAAGGGAAAGTAAATCTCTCTGAGCTTGCCAACAGTCAGTTAGCACACTGAATATAAAAGTTGCCCAAATTTAAGCTCTTAGCGGCACATTTGCACAGATGTTATTGGCCTCCTCAAGCGAATACACTGTTTGCTGCGATTCCATTGGAATGAATGAATACTGTTGTGTCCGGTCCATTAAAGCTAGCTTAATGAACACGCCTCATATGTACAATTAATTATTGTACTTTTTTATCACCAATGAAGACTTTTTTAATAATTCCTTACACCCCTAGTTTTTTAATTCCATTGGCAAATTCCCATCCAATCTTCAGACTATTTTATCTAACTCTCCTTCCTTTAGGGGCTGCTCTTTATCATTGGTCTGCGACAATATCATTTCTACTTTCGTGGTATACAGCTAAAGGATTGGGGGCATAAGTCAACCTGATAATATCCTTTTAGGCCTCTCGAATTCAGCTGATTAAGCAGTGTCCCCTATAATTGCCTCAGCTATAAGAAAGATATGGGGTATTCTTGAATCTATTAGCTTTTTTTTTTTTGTCAAAACCTAATGTAGGTAAATCCTGAAAAAGAGAAAAAGAACCGAGGTACCTTGCAGTGCAGCAAAAGCACACTTTCTACGATTGATGACGCAGCTTTAAATACTATGCAGCTGACAACCTTGATTTCTTAAGATAAAGATTTATCTTCAGGAGTTCCACTTCTGTAAGAGCATATAGTCAAACTTCAAAGTTTGAAGTTCCGAAGATTGTAAACATCAACACATCAGAATGCCTATCTTTTGCTTCGGGAGAATACTTGTTTTTATCCATTTGGCAGAGGTAGCAGTTCGTCATTATGCATCATTAACCTTCTCCCCC